ATATTACAGTTTTGTAATTCAAGATAAAATTTAAAATTATTTAAATAATAAATATGTAACTATTACATAGACACTTTATCCTAGTTTTTGGAAAGTTTCAACAATTAGCAGCCTATCGTGCTTTTTAAAAAAATTGTTAGTTGAATACTTTTCACATACTTTTCTAGTAAGATATTTTTAAAAAATAATGTATTTTTCTGCTAGTATATTTCACAATGTAAGAATTGACCAAATTTTTATAAATACGACTTATAATTTTCGATTAGATTTAATTTACATTTTAATCAATTGCAGAGATTGTAAGGAATTGAAAAAATTCTGTGAATTAAATTTTTAACTTTAACGATTGGATTATCAGAATTGACAAAATTTGTGTAAATTTGATTTATGACTTCAGTGATTTAGTTGTTTCTATTGAATGGCGCTTGTGTGCAACGATAAAGGACACAGGTATCATGTGATGGCATTGGAAAGGCAATTACGTAAAAGACTTGCAACGCGTAGATGTTTACGAACGTCGATGGAAAATTAAATTCTTGAATAGGCAAATGCACCTTTCACTGGTATCTCAATTGATTGCATTAATTAAGATGAACAGAGAACACAGAAAACGTTGCCAAATGTGTACATAGTTTTGGGTTAATACAAAATATTAAATGTAAACTGCGAACAATTTTAATGTTTTTTAACTTTCGAAACGTAGTAAAATAAAGATCTTATTAAAGTTTAATAGTATTCATTTATTATCATTGGCATAATGACACAAGAATTAAATTTCTGTATAATTTTCATGGTTACAAATTAGTGTTTAAAATTTTGATTTTGCATAAAGATCCGCAGTCTAGTTACAGTGAAAACTGTTTCGATTATACTTTTTTCTGGAGCTCTAGAATCCAAAATTAAAAGAGAGATGATACCTTATTCTTCTTCATCACAATCATGTATTTTCATATAGAGCGAATAATGAAACAATCCAGTATAATAGAATTTCGATTATTACCAAACAAGTAAAGAGAAATTTTGTTAGATTTAATTAGATCGTTTTTACCAGAATTTCTATTTGGAAATAGAAATGCATGCATAAAATAAGAACGATGAGATAATTCTTACTATTGTTCTTGAGGCTTTACAAATTTTGTCAAAAACAATATATTGTAATAGTTGAATAATAATAAGGTAATAAACGGCGAAATTATTGAAAATGTTGAAATTAATATTGAAACGAAAATAAAAGGGATAATAAGAAAAAAAAGTATCGAAACAATTGTAATTATATTTATGCACATTCCGGTCTATTCATTCTTTAGAAAACAGCTTTAACAGTAGAATTATCAAATCCACAAAAATGACTGATTTCAAATTTCTTGTTTTGTAATTATATACTGAAATCATAAAGGCGTTTTTTTTTGCAATTTATGTTGACCGTTTATTTATTATATACCCTGTATTATGTTGTGTTTTACACATATATTACTGTATCATATAATTAAGTATACATTCAACGCTGGCAATTCTGCTTTTAAGATCGTATGAAGCCCAAACAGGAAGTACGTACACCGGAATGATAACAAAAAACAGTCGAAAACCGAAAAACATTGGAAAGCAAGTATCGAGACCCCAAGAATGAAGTAATCGAACTTTATTTTAAAACTTCTTCTAAACTTTCTTGTCCAACATTAACGTTACTAAAATGTTGCAAAGTGAATGATCTAGTTTCAAATTGAAAACGAAATTATTCAATTAGCTATCAGAAACATTTAATTATCAAAATATCCTGCGGTGCAATTCGATCGTATAATCACGTTTCTATTCCATTTATAAATCTGATTATCGTGGAAAATATGTAATGGACGAAGAGTGGGTCAGTAGAATTGTTTCAGAAGTATACATAACATCATTAAAAAAAGTTTATGAAACATGATTCAGTTACTCGAGGCGGGTGGCGCCACGGTAATTAACTCTGCATTACGAGTGCAAACTCCTCATGCGGACGAAAGTATTTTGTAAAGGAATATTTTTTTCAGAATTTTACATTTACAACTCAACCAACAATTTTCAAAATAAAGATCTTTTTTACAATTTTTATACTGTGATAATATTAAGGTCTAATGAGAAATTTATGCTGGAAAATTAATTCTTTACAATTAAAACAGATGAAGAAATGAACCCCGTATAATTAATACTTTTGGGGTTGGAATAGAAGAATTAGAAATTTCCTAACCACAAAACTATTGATTGCACGGTACTCGTTCCTTCGTACAGTGTAATAGTTTGTACAGAAATCCGAAACGAACAGTGCGGTGACGGTATACTTCAATTTCATTAGAATTCCTGACATCAATTGCACAAAGTGATGGGTCACTACATTCAGTAAGACAATGACCCGAAGCATCACCGCTCGAGTAGTTAGAGAGGATCGTTTATAATGCATCCCATAATTTAGTCAGACTTTCACAAAACTAGATATTTAGTTAAAAAAAAAAATTATGGTTTACTGTTTATGGAAAAACTATGGGTTATGGTATATACAAAATTATTAAATTTCTAATAAAGTAACATTAAAATATGAGATTATTATAATTTCAAATACCATAGAATCAAATATTATACATAAACTAGTTGAAAGCATGCAACATTTTTTTAATGAGTTTATAAAGTATTTAGGCTGACTGACAAAATATTAAAACTCTATTTATTATGTTTATGATTGGTTATTTTGTACTATATTTTTGTACACTCAATAATTAATTTTGTAAAAGTTTGTGTTCAATAAACATACATAATAATAGTAAAATCTTTATTACAATATTTTTCCAAATGCATTACTTGATTAAGACATTCCACAATTAAATTTATACTAGTTTCTCTTTACATTTGTATGATATAGAATAATATAGTATTTATTTACAGTAATGTAACTTGTATAAAACAAATAAAAAGTGCCGACTACAATATTTTTGTATCAATTTTCATTTTCAAGGAAATTTATTTTTAAATAACACTTGCATTCATACAGCATATATGTACAATTTATGTAATGATACTACAAATATTTATATGTTAATGCACAACATCCATATGACTTTCTAACTGCTCCATTCTTTATGTTCCAGAAGATACAGAATAATTTTTTCTTACAGTTAACTATTTCTTTCAAATAACTATAAATTTAAGTAAAAAATAATTAAGCGTGTTGCATATATATTGTAAAAAACTGGCACCATTGGAATGTCAAGATATAACAAATGCATCAAATTTTTCCCAAATGTCCCATGATTCTTCATTTCTTGTAAAGCTTTGTTTATTCTTAAAATTGAGTATATAAGTGATAATAATAATAAATAACAGATACACAAACAAACATAACACTTGGAATTAAAAACAATGTGTTCAACTATATTGTAATAAAGTTCTGAGTTTATAAAAATACAAATCTACTTTATTTTATTAGATAGTCATCCAAATAGGAAATACATAGAAAAATAGCTACTTTTTATATTTCAAAAACGATTTGGACGTAGTATCAGTTGAAGCAGTAACTCTTTCGAGATCTTTTATTAAAATTTTGTAAAGGCGTTAGCATATTAAAAATAAATTCTTTGCAAATAGTAGTTTGTCATTTAGGTATGCATGTGATTTTCCTGATTAGACACTTTTTAATTTTTCTTTTAAATTTATAGGTTACTTAACGCATATGATAACACAACTGATATCAGTAATTTTTTTATAAGTCCGAATAAGAGAATTATATAAGTAGTTACACAACATTTGTGTAATTGTATGATAGCAATGTTTGAACCTGGCATGGTTTACAAATAATTACTTTGAAGAATTTCCAGCATATTTGAATTGTATACTGCAATACTTTTTATAAATTGTTCTAGGTATAAATATTTATACCACAGCACGAGTATTTATACCACAGTCTATTACAAATTTAATGGTTAAGATAAACGAGTAAACGAGAACTATTATCATGTATGAAACAATTATTATAATTTGCAAGAAACTACATTTCAAAGACATATAAGAAAACATTAATACAAAACTGTTCTTCAAGATCAGAAGAAATTTAACATTTATTTTCCATGTTCTTGATAAAGATAAATTTAAAATATGTACATAATCATGAAATACAATAACAGAACTTGAAAACTTGACAATATTTTCCAAATATAAAATGAAATCCAAATAGTCAATGTAAAATCCTTTAAATTGTTACAGGTATATATTTGTTAAGAAATATGAAAGGTAATATTTACACTAATATAATATGACAAATGGGATGCAGAATGTGCAATATACATCATAAATCATAATTTATTATAGTCAAACAGATATTTTAATATTCATGTACGAGAGTATATAACTGATAAAAATAAACAATTGTATATTTTACACAATACTCTGATAGAAAGTACCAATATCGAAATTGAAAAAATGCTCAAATTTGTCTTATCAGAATAATATAATACTGATACTTGTGACTAAAAAAAATGTATTTTTATCTCATTTCTGTAACATAATAAACGTCTATAATCAACCACAAAGTATTAATTGTAAGAAAAAAAATGGTTATTCAAGTATCCTTATTTTAAAACGTGCAGTGTCCAAGTTTTGTATTCCGATTATTTAAATTCTTTTTTTTCGCTAATTGTAAACTTTACTACAACATACGCAAACACAATTTTTAAATTTATTGTATATTTTAGTAAAGCATAAAGTGAAAGTATCGACTAAATACAACTCTCTGAATATGTTTGTTATCCCCATGCCTGTGCCCACCATATTTTTAAAATATATTTTCTTGAGAACGAATTCAATAGAATTTCAAATTACTGTTACATGAAATGTTGCCACTTTTTCAGTTGCCTCGCAAACACGAACGTATTATCATTTTTCCGCCTGATTATCCAGCTTTTCAAGTCTACAATTTCTTTATCCGTTAAAAGATCCGTTACCTTACGTCATTCGTTGACCCGTTCTTTTGTTGTACTCACCTTCAATTTCAGTCCTTATGTACGAAACAAACTACGAATGCTGTTTCTTCCTTTCGACCGAGCATATACAACACAACTAGTTCTCCTAATTTCTCTTAATTTCATACGGTTGCATTATACATGTATTTTCACCACCTGTCTCTGAGTAGTCGTGCACGGCACTTATACACCAAACTATGTCACGCCTCTCCTAACCTCAATTTCGTGACTAACTAGTGCAACACATATGTCACTAGAAAATTCGTAAATCTGTTTATAAAACATCAAATTCAATCGAACAAAAGCAGAGCAATTTCGTTCAGACCACTTTATTCGTGTATCATGATTTTCGAAGTAAAAAAGAAAAAGAAAACAGTGACACAGAAATTAGTCGAGACCGGTCAAATCGCTGAACACAACATTTGAACTACGCGTGCTATACTGCGACTGAAACGCCACGAATGGTGTACTGTGTAGTTTACGCCATCGACTCTCGCTCTCTCCTTTTCGTTCTTTCGTTTCCTCGCTTACTCTTGGATCTCTTGCCCCGCCTATTAGCTCCATCTTTTTCTCTTCATTTGGACAATACGCTTTTCACTGTGCCTTTTTTTTTATGTGGTTGAGTAACCTATCTCTCTTGTTGTGCGTGAAAGGTGCATGGTCCTATAGATAGTTGCTGCACCGGAGTTAGGTTAGTTAGATGTTTCTTTTTTGACCAACTGCATAATTAGTTTCTATAAAAGCAACCAACTGTCGGAGATTTTAGACTTTACGTCACGAAAGACAAAACAATTTTAATATTTGCAATCATTTAAATTAAGCGGAGTTTACTAGACGAAAGATGATATTAAAAAGAACTTGATTTATAAATTACTATTTTTATGTTACGAAAACGTATAAACTTATGCACACTTTTAATAAACACTTTTTATTTCTTTATAAATTTTCAATTTTGTTTCTTTTACGATAACTTGTATCGATGTACTGATTATTTAGATAGGACATTTGTGTATGCATAATTTTATTATAATTTATTATTACAGATTATCGTTTAAATAAAAATGTTTTTATTGGTTAAAAAAATTGTATGTTTACGTGTGTACGTGCACAACTTAATAATTTCCGATAAATTTATTATTCATTGTTTTTTATGCGTCACTCTAATAACGTCTTATCATTTATACATTTCTCAATGTGTATTAAAATGCTTATGAAACGTAAAATAAACCGGATAAAGTGCTACGAAATTATTAAAACTTTTCGATAAATATTACCTACGGAATATATTGAATTTAAATTGACAGTGCATATTATGAAGGAATACAAATTTATATTGTAAAAATAATGTAATCTCTGTGAAGTATTATATTGCTTTTGAACAAACCAGATGTTCTGATATTTATGGACAAGAGTGTATATTCTTTCATGTACCTGATACTTCAATATTTGTTACAGAAATTCAATACCGTAGTAAGATCACGAACTCTTGTGCAAATTCGCTATGACTACGTGAGTCAACTACTTTTCATTGAAAAAATAAATAAGACATAGTTGCAGTGATAAAAAATGATTTTTGTATAAATTGTTAATTTAAAAATAGCATTGAAGGGGATATACAAGCTAAAATATATAATATATAATAATATATAATTATATACAGTACATATATGCTTAAACGCCTCGAAGTCCCATGTCTTTTTAAGAGATAATGAAACGTTACTGTTAAATAGAAGATAATAGGATATTTTTTATCAAAAGAACGCATTTCCATGAGTATTTTTTTACTAACAGTAAGTAAGACTATGTATGACAATGTGCAGTACATTGTCTGATTCTCTTTTGGTGAACATAATTGCACGATTTACGAAAAATTATTTATTTGAAACACTAATGTAAAGTAGCATACTCCCATAATTTCGAATAATGTACATAGCTACGATTTGATGGACATTCTTTTTTTGAAATTTCAAAATTTCATATTTACTTGAATGAAGAAAATATATATTTTTCTTTAAAAAATTACAGGATTTTTCTTAAATTTAAAAAAATTACCAAGTATTTGAGGTAAATCAACTGTACAAAATTCAATGCCCGTACGCTGCTTTGGGTACGTGAATTTAAGAAAACTATGTTTCAAGCTTCACTTATATTTTTTTAATTAATCTGTGCTGTCTGAATAAAACTGTAACGTCTTCTGTACATTTTGGAGTCTTCGCATTCACCGCTCGAAGTTGTTGCGCTTTCAAACCTAATTGGGTCATTCGCCAACTCGATCACTTTCTGCGCGCCAAGTCTGGGATTTTGTCCAAATTGAACTTTGTTGTTGTCCACGTGAAATTAAGAAGGGAGTGGTGGTTACGTCGTTCGTTTAATGATTTCCAAATCGTCTAACAGATACAGGTCCCCAAAATTGGCACTTTGTTCCCGATTTTTGGGAAAATTGCCTTCACAAATGAATTTTTGTTTCCGCAACTATTAATCGTACTAATTTTGTTTTTTTTTTTGTTTTAATCGAAAATGACTGGATTTTTCTACCTGAATTTTGATTTTATTCATAGAACCAGTTTTTTAGTAAAAACAGAGAAAGAATATTTTTATTTTGCAAATTTTGCCCCCGATTCAAGTTTTAAAAACTTTGTAGAAAATATGTGCAGATTTTGTGATCTTCTTTCTTTCAATTGGGCTTTTTTAAAATCGTGGATACTCGTAAATTGTAGTCGGAGTAGGTGGACAAAGGCTGCGGATACGGCAATTCCGGTAGGCGCGGCACCTGCTCGATCACTATACTGTACTATCAATGCTATTTTGTATCAAAAACGTTTTATTTCATATTAAGGAAGTACTATATATTTTTAAAAGTACTCTCTTTAGGTCAACAATACATTTCTGTCATTGTTTTATGAAAGCCAGAACATAGTAGAGAATCCCTTTCATCAGAAAGAAGGGAAAGGACGTAATAGCGTGGAAGGAATTATTTTGAAAGTGAATATCAGGAGATCACGTTGAAGATAGTTCCGTTCATGTCGTTTCAAAATGGATTGTTTAATTAAACGAAAACGTAATTGCCAGGAATGGGCACAAAAATGTTAGTTACCGTATGTGAACGATCTTTTTGTTTTTCCACAATAACAAACTGAATGCAATATTATTAATATTGCGTACATTTTTGCAATTTTTAATCATTTAATTTTTTTATTTTTCGAATTGCAATTTTTTTAATGATTCCACCGATTCCATTGTAAAGACCTTTTCCATGTGCAGTTGCAAAAAAATTCGACTCTATGTATACTCACACCTACATCAAAATTGGTATAATCACCGACTAGGTATGGATAGAATCGATTTATCATTCAATGTTTTTTTCTTTTTTCTGATCCATGGTTCAGGGGCTACATAGCCCCCTTACATTTCAGAGTCAATACCCGACAATACCGATAAAGCAGGAATTCAGGGTTTATTAGCACGAATGGAGTAATATCACAGACAAGATATGTACTTAAATAAAGAACTACGACCCAACTGAGAGCTCAGCTAGCCAAACTGCCACAGTATATGTAATAGTCAAATATACAGGGTGTAATAAAAGTGTTGTGGATCCCTGAAATGAGTCACTCGTAAGGTGATTTGGAATAAGTTTTTCCTTAGCAAAATGTTACATATAACACTTCATTTGTGCTAGTAATACTCAGAATTCATGCTTTATCGGTAACGTCGGGTATTGACACTAAAATGGTAAGGGGGCTTCTGACGACTAATTGTGTTTTATTTTGATTTATTTTAATTATATGTGTTTTACTTTCATTTATTTTAATTAGGTACTTGTGTTTTATTTTAATTTATTGGAATTAGGTACTTGTGTTTTATTTTGATTTATTTTAATTCATTAAACTCAAGAAAAAAGCCATCCGCTGAGGGAATCAACATTAAAGTGTCTAAATTTCAGTTACCTTTAAGTTATTTGTAAGACTTTGTAAAAACGGAGGTAGATGAAACTAATGATTCCATCGATGTAACTACGGTTACATAGATAAATAAATGATATGTAAGTTATATATAAAAATTCACCAATTGCCAAAAGGTAATTGATTGTGCGTATTAGGATTCCTATATAAAGTTGTCCAATTGTATACAGATTGAGTTTTTTGATTATTTCATATAGGTATGTAATATTTATAGAAATAATCATTTGAAATTCTATTATTGGTTTAGTTTTACTTTGTACTATTTTAATAAGTTATCTATTATTACACCCTAGACACATTTTTTTAAATAGGTACTCATCTCATTTATAAACTACATATCAATTTTTAGCTTTTTGCAGCTTTTCAATTCTATGATTAACCACCTTAAAGATATTTATCATTCTTATGCCCAGACAGGTTATGACTAACGTAGACATTGTTATAAGTTTGTCTGTTTAGATAACTAATAACGAACAATTGAACAGTGTGTATATCCAGCCCACCCTGTATATAGCTACGTCGAACACGTAGTCTACGTAATTAAAGCTCGCTTAATGTAGTATATGTATCTCGTCTGTGGAGTCGCCCAGGAGCCTGTAGTACCGACGTCTCCGAAAGCCAGTGATTTTCGTGACCTCTACGTTATAAAAACGGCGAATCTAAGAACTGCATTGAATATAATTCAAGTCCTGCTGATACCGAAAAATAATTGGCACCGAATATAGTAGGCGATCGTTTATTGCAGGCCCTTTTATTGTAGCATGGGAACGCCCTTCGCTTACACGTATTTTTCACACACCTGCGCGCACCCCACTGTGTCGTCCAACATGCCCAGGACGGAATACATACGGTGTCGCGTTTCACTCGTATATTTCACTACAGAAAGCGAAGTGTATATAATATTGTTTTAATAATGTTTATATTGCTGTAATGAATATTGGTTGAATGAATATTGGTGGCAATTTGATAGCTTCTTGTCTCGCGGATCACACGTAATGGGTAAAAGATGCTAACCAAGCTAGACATTTGCTACTAAAATATGTCACGAATTATTACCTTATTCACATAGTACCTTAAGACTTTATTACGCAGAATGTTTGGAAGTCTCGGTTTATGTAGTAAAAGTATTTTAAAAAAATGTTATTCCATAACATTTCAATATCATTAATAAAAATAACATAATTAACTTTGAAAACTTAGAAGATACTCCACCTACGAAAAACTTGTTACTGCTAAGAAATAGCTCTCTTCATACTGAACAACTTCTGTGAATAAACTTTTCTGATATCTCTAAAAATAACGGAGATAATTAATGTTACCGTAAAGTGCGCATATCCAGCCGACCCTATATGTAACTGCGTCGTACGGCCGAGTGGTGGGGAAAGCGCTCTGGTAACTGGTGTCCTATTCCTGCACGGTTCCTGGAATTCTGGTCTTCTACAGCCCCGACTA